TAATACGCGGTAATACGCGGTAATACGCGGTAATACGCGGTAATACGTGGTAATACATGGTAATACGCTGTAATACGCGGTAATACGCGGTAATACGCGGTAATACGTGGTAATACTTGGTAATACACGGTAATACGTGGTAATACACGGTAATACACGGTAATACACGGTAATACGTGGTAATACACGGTAATACACGGTAATACACGGTAATATGAGTTATAACATTTTAGTTAGTGAAAAAACATCTGTGACTTTTCATATCTCCATCAATTGCTTAGGGTGACTCTGTTTGGAGAAAATATTAACTTTCAAGGAAGACTAAACTATAGTATATTGTCTTATAACGGCACTGAGTTGATGTTTATGGGGTGTTTATTTATTTATTTTGCTGTTTTGTTTGATAATTTGATAAACTTTAACAGGTTCTTTGCATTGCAGGGAAAAGGAGGACAGTATGGCAGTAGCTGTCGCCATGATGACCAGTTCCACTTATTACAGCACATCAGCTCCCAAAGCTGAGCTTCTGATCAAAATGAAAGACATGCAGGATCAGAACGAGGATGACTCTGAAGATGAACTGGACATGGATTTGGCCAACAAAAAGGTACCAAAAACTTTTTCATTATTCTCTTTTGTGACAGTAGTTTACAATAAAAGTTCTAATTTAAAGGATTTCGGATGCTTATTTCAAACAGCAAGAGCTGATCGACAGTCTCAGTAAGAAGCTTCAGGTGTTGCGAGAAGCTAAGGAGAGTCTTCTGGAGGACATCCTGGACAACAACACCCTGGGAAACGAGGTGGAGGTCCGTGTCCAGCAGATCTGCAAACCAAATGAGCTGGAGAAGTTCCGGATGTTCGTGGGAGATTTGGATAAGGTGGTGAGCCTACTGCTGTCGCTCTCGGGTCGTCTGGCCAGAGTGGAGAATGCTCTCGACAGTCTGGAGGAGGATGCTACTTCTGAGGAGAGAGTGAGTCAATCTTTGAAACGCTGATAAAGTTCCTTTTGTGTGGCATCTTTTAAAAACCTCATTTAAATTTCTTCTTCAGCGTACGTTGATTGAGAAGAGGAAGCTGCTAATCCGACAGCACGAAGATGCAAAGGAGCTGAAGGAGAACCTGGACCGTCGCGAGCAGGTGGTTTATGATATCTTATCCAGCTACCTGCCAGAGGACAGCCTCGCAGACTATGAACACTTTGTGAAGATGAAGTCTGCGCTCATCATCGAGCAACGCAAACTGGAGGATAAAATCAAACTTGGTGAGGAGCAGCTGAAATGTCTGACGGACAGCCTGCCCTTAGAGCAGAGGCTGGCTCTGTGAAGTGGATGGACACTGCTTGGATGCAACAACCCTGACTCAGGAGTCTGATCGTGTGGTTCCGTTCAAAATTATGGCCAGCAGAGGGAGACAAAGATCAGAAGCTATAGAAAATACTCTTCATTGTTTTTTCTTTTGTGCTTCCTGTTTTCTGGACCAGTTGGGGATGGAGGAAGATGCTACTCCTTTTCCACCATTTAAACTGGTACAATTTTTCAGGAGCTCCATTTTTGAAAGATGCTGGGGTTTTTCTTGTATCACCCAACAGCTGCATCTATACCATTCTGAACGCCATTTTTACTTTCTTGGCTTTTCTAGTAATTTATTATAGACTTTTGAATCTGCAAAACAACGGGACAGTATTTTGTCATCCGCTGATCGGAGCAGCCACACTACTTAATATGTTAGTTGCTGTATGAGTATTTATCAGGTTATCCAAATATTTCAGTAAAGCGAACTTTGATTCTGCATCCATTAACATGTTAACTTGTGTTATCTTCACGTTTTGTGGCGTTTCTATGACAAACATGAGAGGAGCATGGACAAGTGAAGTTCAGTGTCCAGATTAATGCCACCTCTAGATGTTTCTGTGCCATTACGTGACATCTCTGTTTAGTTGTACACGGTGAAAATATTGAAATCACAGGTAATCACTGTTGTTACTAATGATTTAAACATTAAATATAGATGATCTTCTTGCAACAAAAAAAATGAAACAATCATTTCAAATCAGTTTGACTAATTAAAAATGGAAGCTTTCACACTTGAAGGATTAAATCAGACTAGCTGAAGGTGTTGGTTCCTCTCAGCTGGCATGTCGTGTTACAGCCAGTTCACTTTCTTTATCACTGACAACAAATCACATCTCAGGGCACAAGACAACAACAACAAAGAGTCTGAATCATAAATCCAATTTACAGCATTCAGTCTGTTCCTGTTCTAATGTGAAACATTCATAAACAATGCATTGTGACATTTCTGTTAGTAAGTTATTTATCTAAGGAATCAGGAGATGGTGTCAGATCTTCACTTCATCACAATCTCCCGTCCTTAGCAGCTTGTTGGTGAAAGCTGAAACGACTGACTCTGTTTAACAGGAAGAAACCTCTAACAGAACCAGTCTCTGGATGAGCGGCCATCTATACTCGGCTGTACTGTGTGTACTCCATGAGCCGCACGGACTCGACGTGCACCGGCCGCAGTCTGTTGAGACGAGGATCGCTTGCCTCTCGGAAAAAATCAACAAAAGAAAAGGTCATTAAACCAGACCAGAGATGAAGAAGGGAAATTTAACACGTCGGTGTGGCATACAGAGCAGTCCGTCGCTGGGCAGTTTATTGTGCGACATCACGTACGCGTTTGCGGTCATAAGAAGCATACGCCTCGAGTCCGCGATGAGGCTAATGGAGTACACGCGGACCTCTGCAGAGTGAAGTACGCCCAAGTATATGGGAGCCTTAAGCCCATAACAGCATAACTAAGGGACAGCTCAGGAAACCCAAGCCAACCCTAACTATAGGATTTATCAAAAAGGAAAGTCTTAAAACTGGATAATGTGTCAGCCTCATGGACAGAAACTGGAAGTTGGTTCCACAAGAGAGGAGCCTGATAAATGAAAGATCTTCCTCCCATTCTGTTTTTAAATTCTAGGAACCACAAGTAAACCTGCCGTCTGAGAGTGAAGTGCTCTGTTAGGAAAATATGGAACAATAAGATCTGTAATATAAGATGGAGCCAGGTTGTTGAGAGCTTTGTAGGTTAGAAGTAAGATTTTGAATTCTATTCTGGATTTGACAGGGAGCCAATGGAGAGAAGCTAAAACTGGAGAGATATGATCTCTCCCAGTAACTCCAGTTAAGACTCTGGCAGCAGCATTTTGGATCAACTGAAGACTTTTAAAGAAGTATTTGGACACCCAGATAATAAACAACAGTAAACAAATAGTCCAGTCTAGGTGAAAAGTGTAAAAGTTTTTCTGCATTATTTTAAGACAAATTGTTTCTAATTTAGTGATGTTTGTTCAGGGGAAAGAAAGCAGTCCATGTAAAAAAAATGTGGGTGTTAAAATGTGTCTTGGGCAAAAATCATATGAAGAAAAACAAAGTGTGCTGTAATCACAGAGAGGAGTTAAAATGGTTTCTTCAGAGTCAACCATTAACTCCACCACACCCTGGTCTCCACTGACGAAGACTTCAGCAGGACACGGGACACTAAAAGTTACAGGTGTGTTTCGATTCATAACTGAAGCAAAATGTAGAGTTGCTCAGGTGAGTCTCTTCAAATACAGCAACTCTGAAGGATTGTGTGGAAACTGAAGCTGAGCTTGAAGGTGAGTAAATGGAGAAAATGTATACACTTTTTACAGTTGAATCTTCAAACATTTAAATGAAAAAGCATTAACTCCCATGTTGCCTGAACAGATTGTACCCAGTTATAGGAAGAGCAAACCATTTTTTGACGACGTTTTCTAGGCAAGCGTTGTCTTTTAAATATTCAAAGCATTTTAAGGACAAAAACTTCCTGATACATAGTATCAAGAAGTTTGTATGTATGTATGTATCAAGAGTGTTTTTTTATCATTTAATTAAACCTGAAACCTCTGAATAAATCATTTTACATTTGTTAATATCAATAATTGGTGAATTTATCAATTGTTTGGTTTGATAAATGCATTTAAAGTACAGAGTGTTGATTCAGAATAACTGCTGATCATAAAACCATCCTCGTGTTGACAACTTGTTTTATTGTACCAGTGGCCAAAGTACTGTGTGCTTGTTATGGAGGACACTATACATCAAACTACAGATTAAATGTGCTTATCACCTTGAACTGTTTGTAGGAGTTCAGTGTTTGCATAAAAATATTTCATATGTAATGATATGTGAGGTTTGACTGATAATACACTAGTTTTCTTGGTATAATGCAGCTGATATACGTCCGTGCCTGTATCTCAGGTGTACACGGTGGCGGCTGCTGGAGGTTTCTCCAGGGAGGGTTTTAACTGCAAAATAGACGCACACAAAATTTGATGTTGATTTGTTGCCTTTTGTAAATCAGAAGATGAATCCCTCAAGCAATTTTTTACAAAGTCTTTGGTCAGACATCAGAAACTGTTTTAATCTCAAACTTAACACTCCTTCTTTTCATGCTGATGTCATTTTCCTTTATGTGGATAACTTAAGCTCAGCTTTCTCTGATGCCATAAATATAGTCGTACTTATAGCAAAGTACCACATTCACTGTAGTAAGAGGGATAATAATCCTTCCTTCCCCTGTTTTTAGGAACAATTTGAAGTCATACTATTCTTCATTAAGTAAATAAAAAAAACTGCTAGAATCATCTCAACACACAAAAACTTGTTTTAATTAAAACAATAAGTTTCTCATAGAGTCGCGCACTTTGTTTTTTATTTAATTTTTTATGTTTGTTTTTTCTCTTTCATTATTTTGTGAAATGTAGTTAAGACACCCTTCACAAGTTTGTATTTGTATATTGTTGCATTGTTCTATTTTGTGTTGTTAATAAAGTTCTAGGAAAATAAATGGATGGGCTTGTCAGCAGGTAAGGGGCGTTTACCTTGGGGACAAATTGAGATTGTCGATTGGTCAGTTGCTGACACGCCTACTGGACTGATTGACAGGTCGCACCGTCGAGGATCCGACTCACTTAAATTAAATAAAAAAAACGAGAGCTGCAACAGCTGGCACTGGGAGGAGGCGGGGCTGCACAGATGCAGCGGAAGCACAGCAGTTTGTGCAGCGCAGGGCTCCAAGTAAAGCAGGAGATAACCAGATATTCTGCTTGTGCCCTCACTGCCCTGAGCCCCTTAGAGATCATGGGCCCCTGGGCAGTTGCCCATATGGTTAATCCGGCCTTGTATATACCCATATACACAGCCTGGCCAAAAAACAGTTAGTTCCACCTGGATATAACTCAACAAACAGGTGCGGGCCTCCTGTTGGATCATCACTGCACGGACGATCATCTTTCAGCTGCAACAAGTTGTTGAACCACAGCTGGTGCCATGAGCTGCTTCTCTTTTCTTCAACAACCGTGTCAAAGACTCGTGGCGTGGTCCAGGACAAGATGTCCGTCTGTTTGAGAAGGGTCACATCACTGGCTGCATCAAGCAGAGGAAACATCTAAGGAGACTGAAGAAACTACTAACACTGGGTAAAGAAGTGTCCAACACATTATTAAAAACTGGAAGGACAGTGGGGACACATCAGCTTCCATGAAGAAATGTGGCTGGAAGGAAATCCTGAATGATCGTGATCTGTGTTTGTTGGAATCAAATGGAAGAAAAACACCAGCAGCACTCAGGACTGTGGTTCATAGTGAAAGTAAGAACATTTCCACATGCACAATGTGAAGAGAGCTCAAGGGACTGGGACTGATCAGCTGTGTAGTCTTGAGAAAACCAATAACCAGTGAGGCTTACTGGAAAAAAGGGCTTCAATTTGTTAGGGAGCATAAAGATTGGACTGTGGAGCAACGGAAGAAGGTCGTGTGGTCTGATGAGTCCAGACTGACCCTGTTCCAGAGTGATGGTGCATCAGGGTCAGAAGAGAGCAGGAGAAGTGATGCACCATCATGCCCAGTGTCTCGTCATCAATGAAAGATGTTGGTGAAACATTAATGCAACTCTGGATGAAGTAGATCTTGTGACGCTGTAGAAGCTTATTGAAACAAAGACACAGAGAACGCATGACGTCATCAAAGATAAAGGCGCTCCAACGAAGTATCCGTGTGTGACCTTTTTTTGGCCAGGCTGTGTATACTGTGCATTCAGCACGAGTTTCAGCTAAAGAACAAACATTAGTTGTGTCTTCTACAATGATCTGTGTAACGTTATGATTCAGAACAGTTTATTTTCACACAGACTTCTGCACCACAGCATTTCAGGGAGACTATTTCAAGTTTCAACTTCAATGAAATCAACATTTCTCACAGCAACTGTCTGCAACAAACACTTAGGTCACTACGTTATAAGCTCGTTCTTTTCCTATTTCATATAACTGGATTATTTTACCTTTGAGCAGCGTTTTGCCCATGGTGACAGATGACGAGGGGACGGGGTTCTAAACGGGGTGCAGGAAGAGCACCCACTGTCTCTTTAGTCCTGAAAGTACGAAAGGTCAACACATTTTGGACTAATGCAAAATGGACTAGAAAGTTCAGTTTGTTTGATAAACATTTTAAGTACTTTTTAAACTACATATAACGCTTTAAGTATGTAAACAACAACAACATTTGTTGGCAGCAGAATAACAACAAACAGTGACGTTAATGGGCTACATGGATAAAAGAAGAATGAACCTGAAAGCACCAGTAACTAACTGCATGGAACGAACTGGATGTGAAGGTAGAGGAGACGAAACACCAAAGGTGTCACGGTGCTGCAGGTTCCCGTCCATCTGGGACTGTCCCAATCTGAAGATGTATATAACTTTGTACAACGTAAAGTATTGGCTCTTTTTTATGTATGTACACACACACACACACACAACTGCAGAGTTAAAACTAGCCCCGTAGAGAAGTATGATAATCTAGTACCAACTCAAAGTTGGAGCGAGCCAAACGTGGGTCATTTAGCAGAGCAAGGTGGGATTAAAGCTCTAATCCAGACTCCGTTTTCAACCCTAAATTAGGATCCAATTAAAGTTAAGGCAACAAAAAATGGTGTTGAACAGATTAACTCATCATAACACGAGTTATTACACGTGTAATACTTGGGTTCAAATCAATATTTTAAATCAGAGTAACAGTTTAAAGTTATTTTCTGAGATTTTTCATTTGAAATCATTTGTTTTAACAAATCTGCCTCAAAGCTTTAACATACTTGGGAAACACACGCATTTGAGCATTCAGAGTGTAATAAAGTGTACAACAACAACAACAACAACAACAACAACAACAACAACAACAACAAC